AAAATGTTCTAAATAATCCTTTGTCAAATATACTGTTCCATTACACATAACTAAGCAGAAAGACAAAAATAACACAGAAGTTAGAAACCTCAGGTGCTACAGCACAATTTAGAAAAGGCAAAGTTTGTGAGGTGGGGGGGGAGAGGGATAGCATTAGGAGATATACCTAATGTAAATGACGAGTAACAAACCTGCACGTATAATTAAAAAAAAAGAAAGAAAAAGCAAACAATGTGAATGGTTCCATATGCCCAGTAGACCAACAATCTCACCAATTTCAAAAGAAAGGATCAGAGACCTTTGGATCAGCCACAGAGAAGACCCAGTGAATGCTGGACTACTTAACTCTAAACCTTCAAAGAAAACATAAACCAACTAGTTGCTTGCAAGTAAAAAGTGAAAGTAAAAAGGGGATATTTTACTTGTCACTCACCTTCCCAGAGCCAAAACAATTCCAATACCTTGGCTCTGTCAACTACCATGTGTACTATGGGCAGAAGTGTGTTAACAGATAATGTCAAATGGGAAATAACAGAAATAAAGATTAGCAGAGAATAGTCAAGCTTATTTAACTTTTCTACTTTAACTTAACTCCTGGAAAAATGTTTGCTAAGCTCACTTCAACTTTCACAGATAATGCCTGAGAGAAATGGAGACGGATTTACCACCTTCTAAGAGCTTACAAACTTTTTAAAAATAGGTTTCAACTAAACACAGGACAAATTCTGCCTAAAATACTCTGCCTATGTTAATGTCCAGCTTCTATCAGAAGTCCTCTTTCAGGACTTGAAAAGTGGGGTGGGAATCCTCTTTTTGGTTTATAATGTGATGCTTTTGTTTTCATTGTTTCAAGTCTCTCAAGACAGACAGCATAGCATAAGAACCTGCCTCTCGGTTCCCTAGTTGTGCCCTCAGGCACATGCATCTGCCTTGGTTCTGCTTCCACTGGCTCTCATAGACACTTAATGGCCTGCCTACCTCAATGGATTCCCAGCCTTGTGACCTCAATGGATTCCCAGCCTTGAAAGAGAGTAGAGGCAGGACAGTGAGGAAGCTCACGTGAGAACCTAGAGGAGCAAGTCAGGAGCCCAAAGTACCTGTCCAACACTGGGCCCCAGCCCTTTTCATTGCAAGAAAGTAGGGCCCTGTATCCCTAAAATGGATAGAGGAAATTGAAGCGCAGTCCCTCTCCCTCCATGAGGGGAATCTCCTCTGGTGGAAGGATACTGGGAACAAGGGGAGGAGAAGCATCTGAATGCTGAAAAGAGATGTTGGGAACTTTATGCATCTGACAATCACTGTGCTCAAAGGTCATCTCTGGCAAATGTACAGGGGAGGCAGGAGAGGTCTTTAATGTCTGTCAAGTGTCCCTCCCTCATACCTTATACCTTGTACCCAGGACTTCTGCTCAGACCTAAGCAGAGTTCCCAAATTCCTGCTCTCACCTTTGTGAATTCCCCAAATTGGAGTGCAAAAGTGAGCTCACAGCTGTGCCTTGCAATATCAGGACCCCGAAGCTGGAGACTGGGAATCTGATACAGGAGGATGGAAGAAGCTGAAATTTGAAGGAGATAGATATGTGTGTTGTGGGTGAGGGAATGCAGAGGTTTATAGCTGAAGTCCACAAATACAACACTGGGACCAGAAAGTAGTCTATCACATTATCACATATTCTCCTTCTCTGACTATAAACTCTTACTCACTCCCACCAAGCCTGTTCTCCAACTTAGTATCTTCTCTTCTCAGTAACACCAACTGCCTGCCTTTCTCCCAGTCCCCATGATTTAATCAGTCTTTAGTCTAATCAAAAGAAGTTGCTTGAAAGAGTATAACCTGAGGAGCCACAGACAAGATTGGATGTTATTAATTATTAATATGCAAATATTCTATAATCGACATATAAGTGTTCCAAAGTGAACATGGGGAATTGATATAGTTTGGATATGGGTCCCCATCCAAATCTCATGTTGAATTTTATTCCCCAGTGTTGGAGGTGGGGCCTGGTGGGAACTATTTGAATCCTGGGGACATATCCATCATGAATGGCTTAGCGCATCCCTTTGGTGATAAGTGAGCACTCACTCTGAGTTCTCACAAGATCTGGTTATTTAAGGTGTGTGGCACCACCCCCTCACTCTCTCTCTTGTTCCTGCTTTCTGTTATGTGACGTGCCTGCTCCCCCTTCCCCTTCAACATGGGTGGAAGCTTTCTAAGGCCTCCCCAGAAGCAGATGCTGCTATGCTTCCAGTACAGCCTGCAGAACTGTGAGCCAAATAAACCTCTTTTCTTATAAATTACCTAGTTTCAGGTATTTATTTATAGCAATGCAAGAATGGCCTAATATAAGAACTCAGTAGTTTCAAAACTTGCTTTAAAAAGTGCAACTTCAAGACCTCATAGCCTTTAACCCAGAAATTTTATTTCTGAGACTCGGTGCTAAGGAACTAATATTCAAAACACAACAAAGAGCATATGCACAAAGATGTTCATCATAGTGCTATTATTATCATCAATAATTGTTTATTATGATGTCATCAATAGTGACAATAAGGAACGATTAGGGAATAATACATCTACCAAATGGAAAATTACGTAGGCATTTTTAAGCCTGCTTTTAGGCACTTTAAACCTAGTATTAAGCCCAACTGTAATTAAATGAAAACTAAAGTTATAGAATTTTAAATTTTAAAATAATATAAAAGTAATATAGATACCATAATTAAAACTACACATGAAAAAAGTGGAAAGAAACATGTCAAAAATGAATAGTGAGTGTCTTTAGTTGGTGGGATTATGAGGGTGTTTTTTTCCTTTTTATATTCTTATAGTTTTCAAATTGTTCATAATTCTCTAATGGGGGTCAGAGCTAAAAGGCAAGTTCCTTTGGAAGAGGAAAAATTGTACTTGCACAGAAAACTTTTTCTGAGTTTAGTTGACAATCCTTTTAGTACCCAGGAAACAGACCATTTCCTGGAAGGGGACTCGGGGCAAAGGATATGGAGAATGTAAGAAAGAGAAATGATTAACAGATCAGAAACAGATCTTACTGTCTGACATTCAAGTTTCTTCATGACCTTTCACCATGTATCCAAACAGTAGATGAGCACTTCTTAGCTGAACCTTTATTTGGCATTCTCTTTGCCTATCAGAATCCTCCCAATCTCTGAGACTGATTTAACTCACTTCAACGCATGAAGACTTTCCTGATCCTCTGATCATCCAAAGCTCTACTATTTCTCCTTTCTCTTAAGGTATTGTTACAGCAGTTAGGTCTGCAACACCTTTTTCTGGTATTAAGCCAATTCTAAGTTATTTGTTAATTACTCATATGTAAGTAAAAATTTCCCCTGCCAGACTTTCTAAGTTCCTTGAAGTGTGGAATTTAGATGGTTTGCAGACTGTAGTCATTGGACAAACAGAGAGAGGAGAGAGAGCAGTTCTAAAGCCAAGTTGGTATTATATTCATACCCTCAGTGATGTCATCTAAGTAAAATGTGCTGCCTCTGTTTTAAAATGTTGCTGCTGACCATCCATCACCAGGACATGCACTTTCCTTTTTTTTTTTTTTTTTAATAGCAGTGGTATTGTATTGTATTTTTGCTTATTCATTCGTACCAGTTCTGCTGTCCCCCTTAGGATTAAACAGACTGGACTGCAAGATTTTCAGGATACAGATTATAGCCATGTAAAGAGCAAAATGAAATGACCTTTTAGGAATCAAACTCAAGACTCTTCACAAGACCCCACTTCTAATACTCTTGTTTGAACAACAAATATAAATTTATGCCTCCATTTTATGTCCTTATTTAGGCAGTGGACTTTATCAATATCCCTATTAACTTGAAAAAGAATTCTCCAATGTAAATGGTTCAATACTTTAGAAATGACAAAGATGACTCTGTTCCTGCCTACCATCAATACTATGTGAGTATTTAGAGATAATGAGCATCTGTACTATAGCAACCTGCCTCCTGAGACATAAACAACAGATGCATTTCTTAAGAGAAACCCATAAGTCACTAATGAAAGCAAGTCAAAGAACCCATCAACAGGCAAAGAAAGACCTAGCATCCATTATTTTTACAGAAGAAGCACAGAAGGTCAATATAATTGTTGACTCTGAAGGGCAGGGTGACAACAAACTAATTCAGTTTCCCACTATATAAGAACTACATTTTACTACAACACTCATATTTCTGAACTAAGAATCAAGGCTTGTCCAAATTCCATGGCTTATTGAGTGGTCTTGAACCTTCTCTGAATTTTGTTCCTTAGTCTGTAAAATGAAGTTATCACCTGTTATGCAAAATCACAGAGTTGTAATGAATCAAATAACATTATCTTAGTATGGGTTCACCTGTCACCCTATTGTGGGGTGCAGTTCAGTGGCATACCTCATGAACTAATTGACTATTATAACTGTAAATGTCTCCCTAACATTTAAGAAAGAAAAATATTTCCATAGTTCTTACTTTTTTAATCGACATCTCCAACACTTGAGCATCCACCACATATCACTGCCAAAAATTTGCTGAACATCTCCTGTTATGACCTCACTCTCCTATGTAGTGTTGTTCACATATTTTTTGCCATATGCTTTCTAAGAAACTAGATTTTTTCACATGATTCAAACATCTTTCTTTCATATTGAAGGAGCAATAATTGCATATGCAGAAAGTTTACAGGTTGCTGTTGCTGTTGAGAGTACTCCTCAATTAATTCTATGTTTAATATCTAATAGAGCGCATATATATGTATATATGTATATAATAGAGCATACACACACACACACACACACTTGGACACATTTCATTAATACAGTGGAAAGTCCATGGACTATAGAGTCAGGAAAACCTGTATTCGAATTCCTGTTGTGACCTTGAGAATGCAATTTAACTTCCCTGCTCCTCAGTTTACACATTTGGTTCTGGATTATGATGACTTAATAAAATATGATATATAAAAGTAAGTGCCTAGGTTATGAAGGTACTATTTCCTACCTCTCATAAATCTTTTCTTTCTATGGCAGGTTCAATCAAACCCATCCAGAATACAAGACAACTTTCATAGGGTATCTTTCACATCAGTTGAGGGATCGCTGCGATGTGATAAAAGAGGATGAAGGCATGAGTCAGGCATCCAATAGAGCAAGACATGTAAAAAGTGAGAGACATCTACAAGGGCCCTAGACTTCACTCGCATGTTTGAAAAGGGCATTAATCTGACACACTTTCAAGAATGCCCCGCGTACTCGCGGAGGCTTATACCAAAATGTGGGAAAACGACGGAATTACAGAATAAACCAGCAGGGAGCCTCCTCGTTCACCCAACCCGACCCCGCCCGCCCGAGTCTCCCATCTGGAGCCTAAAAACTGAGCTGAGATCACGGCAACTGACCCCGTCCCCTCCGCCCTCTCCCTCCCCCATTCTGCTCAAACCTCTCAGCGCACGAATGGTGCTGAATCATTTGCACGAACGCAGCAGCTCCCGGCTCCGCGGCTCCCAGCGGGGACGGTGTCCCCAGAGCAGTGACAGTCCGGGGATGGGGGCACAGAAAGAGGGGCGCGGTGGAGCCTTTGGGGGCGTGGGGACATGGAAGGTGGTCGGGAGAGGATGGCGGCAGCAGGTACTCACCAGGGTGAGGAAAGCCCAGCCCGGGTCCTCGCGTCCCCGCTGCGGGGGGTCCCCCAGCTGTTCCCGCGTCTCGCGGCTTCCACGCAGGCGGCCGCCCGGACTCGGCAGCCTGCGCTGGTGGTCCGGTGCTCTCCTCCGCCCGCCCACCGCCAGTGGCAGCCACGGCTCGGGACTCCGGTGCTCGACACGGAGCGCCTGGAACAGCTGTCGCTGCCCAAGCGGGTGGCGGCTACCAACGGGCCAGACCATTCGCCTGCTGCGGCCGGGGGTGCACGACGTTCCGAGAGGCGCGGGCGCCTGGGGCCGGCGATGGTTGGGAGGAACCGAGGACTCGGGGAATCCTCTGCCCCCTCGGAGTCAGGAGGTCTTGTATACAGGAGTAATCAACGAAGGGGCCACTGCCTCTTCTGGGAGTTTACTGAAGACACTGTTCGAGCTTTCCCGCGCCACACACCCCCCCTCCCCGTTTGCCTTGGTCCCGCTCGGGGCTCCTTTAGAACGCGGCAAACAGAGGACTTAGCAACGCGAGCGCCTGGGCGGCGCCCCTCCTCAGAGATGCGAGAGGCGTTGGCCTCAGCGCCTCCTCCCACCTCTCGCTACCTCCCGGCCCCGAGGCGCCCAATCCTCCTGCCTGTCTGACCGCAGACATCTTCCCACAAAACGTGGAGCTTCTTGAACCTTTGAGGAGAGTCTTCAGCTCTTTTATCTAAGCATCTTTGTGAAGCAAAGAATAAACGGGTATCTGAGGCCAGCTCGAAAGTTAGGAAATGAAATCAGGTGGGGCCCCATCCCGCAGGTGCTGAGGGACAGCTCGGACCTAGAGTTCCTGCTAAGCAAGTGGTGAACCACGGCAGTTGTAAAAATTGTAGATTTAGAAAGCCATTTCGAGATAAAGATTTACAAAAGATTATTGCAGAAATTAAAGAATATTTGAGGTTCACTGTTCACCATTTTAGAGTTGAGTGTCTTGAAAACGGGAAGGCAATCATGTCTTCTCATAAAATGAATTGTATAGAACTGGAAGGAGTCCCAACACATGAATTCCTTAGACTTTTGTGGTCCCTGCTTCTGTCACACCGGGCTCACACAGGTTCATTTCAGACCATGGTGAAGATCAGGACAAGTGTACAGTTTTCCCTGTAGAAAAAAAGAAAAGATAGAACAGAATTGGCAACTACCTATAAAATGTGATTAAACGTAGAAAAAAAAAAGGACCCTCCCAGTGCATCCCAAATAAAATTTCATAATTTAAAGTTTTGTCCTTTATTGAGTAAATCAACATAAATTCAGCACTTTCTATAGACCATGGTACTGAGAATAGTCTCATTTTCATTTCTTCATTTATTCTTCTAAAAAATCCTGTGAGATTGGTAACCTGCAATAGACCTCCATAAAACCTTGCCAGCAATAGGAACTGATCTGCCCAGTGAGGGCATATTCTCATAAAGGACACTGGTGAGAAACTGGGCTCCGGGTTTGTCGTGCTGGGTTAAAGTCTCACGATCATAAGCTGCAGAGCAGACATTGCCACCTGGAGTTTTTGACTTGTTCCTTTCTCCTAGAATGCCTCTGGGAACGGTATACATTAAACCATGTCACATCTGATTGCAACTTGAAAGTGAGTCTGTTTATCCTTCCTTTGTGAGAAGGGGTTTTAGAGTGGAGAGGGGGCAGTTAGGTGTCTAGGGTAGGCACCACCCTGAGGCAAAAAGAGTGATCAGAAAGAAGAAGCTGGACTTCACACAGAACTAACCGAACATCAGTATCACAATACACTGTCAGGGTCACATGAGGGTGAAGAGGAATTCTCCACTGCCTTCTTGTTAATCATCTTTACATCATCATTTTCACTATATTACACTTTGCTTTACACTACGCATACACTATTACCGTGTTACATGTTATCACTCTTCCATTCCCGGAAGGGTCAAGAATTTTTCAATGAACCTATTATCATGGATCCTCATATACCTTATCAAAAAAAATGTTTAAGTAACAGAGGTATTAGTAACACTTAACATCACCTCAAGAAAGCTTTTTGAGAAATCAGGAATAAAATTAAATTGTTTCCGTATGATATGACATTGTTATTATGTTAATGGTTGTTGTAAAGGTTCACACATCAGCACCAGCACAACAGAAATCCCCAAAGCTCCATGTTGCCAGGGAGCTGGAGCATTGGATCCCCAGTGACCAGACTGGCCTCAGGCTCAGAAATGTGTGATTCTTCTCTCCATGTGCAGTTGTTTCTCTTTCAAAGGCAACAACAGGAACAGAACACAGGTGGATGAGGTATCTTCTGAATTAGTGCTTTATGTCAGATGTCAGATGTCAGATGATAGGGATATAGAAAGGGATTTAGAACCTTATGATTTGTGGTCCTGATGGGCCTGTGACATCTGCAGCAATCTATTTGTTTAAGTTGACATTCTTAGAACAGACGTTTCTGAATGAAGAGAGGGGAATTTTTGTGCTGGTAGCCTTGGGAAATTGTCAAAAGAAGTGGAAGGAATGGTGTGACGCCTGCATTCCCTGCTTTCCTCAAAGTCCTCACATGGTTTTGAGCCTGCTGTGGAAAGAACTTAGGGTCAGAAGCTAAATAATCATCTTCCCCACAAATGACTTTGTGAAATTTAAGTTATAAGAAGTACTACTTTAGGCCTGGTGACAAAGGATAGCGCAGAGCTGGCAAGACAGTCATTCTCTCACCCAACCTGCAATAGACCTCCATACAGCCTTGTCAGCAATAGGAACTGATCTGCCCAGTGAGGCCACACTGGTGGCCAATACAGGGTCAAGGTAACTTAAGTAGGAGCCCAAAGCAGTAAAGCAGGAGTGTTATTACACCTGAGCACCTGAAAGACACTGCTGAGGATTTCTTGCCCCAAATGATGGAGCCTAGGGAGGCAGTGCAGGGTCAAGGGAATGATTATTAAACTTAAGATGATTGTTAAACCTTATTTAGGCACCGATATTAACATAAACTCATTTGTATTCACAAACTAGCGTGATCTGGGAACATTCCAATATTACTTTTTAAATGATACTAATAAGAAGAGAGCTAGAGAGAAAGATAATACTTAATGCCTTTGATAAAACTTCACTGGAGCCACATAATGTTAAATCTTGATGCAAGATATTCAATTACCTGCTATGTGTTGGTCTCTTACTAAAGCATGTGGTGACATTAACCTCTCAACTTACTCTTGCTGAAGAGAGTGTTTAATCGTGTTGTTTCTGTTTGCATTTAGCTAACACTTATTAAACCATTAGTGTTTGAGTAACTAGTATTATGTGAAGTAAGTCGTATCATCACTCCCATTTTATAAATGAAGAAACTGAGAATTACAAGGGTGTATTAATTTGTGAAAGGTAGCACATCTGGAAAGAGACAAAGCTGGATTTCAAACTCTAACCAACACATGACATGAATATCAGCATACTTTTATTGTCTCCTGCTATGGAGAACAACATGTACATTGCATGTGTCTCTGCAGTAGAAAATCTATTTTTCACTTATTTTTAAAAACCTGTTTTCAACTCTCATTTCTAAGAGGAAATGAGTCATTTCCCACAGAAGATTTAAATGACAGTCTTCCCAATGGAAACACTGGATACCCTTTTCTAGGTTTCTGTGCTCAGAAAAGAGACCCTGAATTTAAGAGTAAGTGAACCCTGTAGCATAAACTTGACCAGTGGTGCCTAAAATTCTTGCTACAAAATTATGATTGCAGGAACTCTTGCATGAGACTCTGGAAACTAGATCCTTAAGAAGTTCTGTAGGTCGTTCTAACATACAGCCAAGCTTGACCAGACCATACTGAACAAAAATAATATGGGGCCTACAAAAAAAAAATTCAGCCTTCTAGACTTAACCCCTTACTCCCATCTTTTATTGAGAAGGAAATGAGAGGCTGGTATTTAAAACCTACTTTATGTAATTTTACATTTATCATATAAAATGCATTTATTAAAGGGCTTAGAATTTTTTCTCAGTGTTGTTTTGATCATTCTCAACAAATCTTCAAAGAGCCCCAAATTTAAAATGATACTCATTCAAAATTACTTTTATGTATAGATATTAGACTTTAGGCCCTTTTTAATTATTATATGGCATTTTATATAAGACAAAAAGCAGTATTGCGTTAGACTTTTTTATTAATTTTTGGAGAATTTACATAACAGTAAGTAATTTCATCCAAGAAGATAAGCTTTTCTAGTTTATATTTTTTCATTTCCCAGTCATATTTTTATAATTTTGCTTATATATGTTCTGTAACTTTCCTACCAAATTTATACCAAATTTTGTACAGCACTTGTATTCTGAATGAAATGTTCTTTCCATTTCCTTTTCTAGGGGCTTTTACCAGAACAGAGAGATGACTCTTTCTGTAATGTATTTTGTATTCATGCAGTGCACCAAATTATCTTATTACTTGTTTTTTCATGAGTCCTTTGGATTTTCTAAGAAAACAGGCATATCAGCAATATCAAGAACTTTGTTTCTGGCTGGGCACAATGGCTTATGCCTTAATCCCAACACTTAGGAAGGCCGACGTGAAAGGGACACTTGACCCCAAGGAATTTGAGACCAGCCTGGGTGACATAAGGAGATCTGTCTCTACAAAAAATAAAAAATTAGCTGGGCATGGTGACGCCTGCTTACAGTCCCAGCTACTCAGCAGGCCAATGTGGGAAGATCCCTTAGTCCAGGAGTTCAAGGATGCAGTGAGCCTTGATCACACCACTGTGCTCCACCCCGAGCAACAGAGTGAGACTGGTTATAAAATATATAAAAATACATATATATATTATAATTTATACCAGTTATTTTATTTATATTTCTTAGAATCACTAATGTAAGTGACTGTGGTGATGCCTGATTCCAGATTTTAAGTGAAAGATTTAATTTTTGTGATTTAGGATGATGTTAGCTATTGGGCTTTCCTTTATTATATAAGAATTTTTTTCTGATTCTATTTTGCTTAGAGTCACTTGACTTTTATCTGATGCCTTTTCACAACTTGTTGATAATGGTTGGGCTTTTTTCCCTTTAATTTTTAATGTAATCAATATGTAACTAGATTTCCTGATATTGAACCGCCTTTTCATTCCTCTAATAAAGCCTATTTTTTCACGCCATGTTATTCTTGTGATTCATTCCTCTGTTGTATTCTCTGTTATTTAAACATTTGGTGGCTATATTCAGAAA